GTCACACAGCCTCCTCGACAGACTCAGGCTGGGCATGTCTCGGTCACATACTCCAGCACAGACAATTGAGTCTGTGTTTTTACCGGGGGCGAAGTTCTGAGCCCCGGTCTGCTGCTGAACAGGGTTACTGCATTCCTGCCGACCCAATTTTCGAGTTCCATCGCAGAAACATTTAAGACTTCAACCCWYGTTCATAAGYAGAGACAATATCAGGAGCAGATTCAAGGAGTTCTCTTTTACTAAACCATCTGTCCTCAGATGGTGCTTGAGTCTTAAAACGTACCTTGAATTGCTTCTGGGGTCGTCCACGTGCACCTGTAGAGAAGAACCCATGTTCTAGAATTCGGTCCACTTCATATCCGCCATCCATATCTGGCGGTATCATAGATGGTCTATGGGGGAATTCATCTCCTTCTACGTAAGGTAGCAACTTGGACGCATGAAAGACAGAATAGGTCTTGAGATGAGGGGGTATATCAATTTTGTGGAACGATCCCTCTGCATCTCCAATCACTTTAAGAACTTCCCAGGGTCCAAAATAGACAGGCAGAAGTTTCTGAGACACATTTTTTTCTAGTGAAAACTCTTTAGACTTGACCCAGACCAGATCACCTTCTTTGAACGTTGATGGTCGTCGATGTTTATTAGCTTGTTCGATCATCCGATCCTGAGCTTTCTTTAGATTGTCCTTTACCTTTTTAATGTCTTCTTGAAACAATACTGCGTATTCTCGGGTCCCTGGAGGTAACCTAAGAAACTGGTCCCTTGTCAATACATCAATGGGACGCTTGGTTTCCACCCTTCATGCAGTGCCTTAGGTGTTCGTCCTGTAGAGGTATGAACACTACTATTGTATGCACTTGCTATTTTAGGTAAGTTCTCATCCCAATCTATTTGATCGGGTCTTATATACATGTGCAGAAGCTGTTGGCACAAACGGTTCATTTGTTCACTCTGTCCATTCGTTTCAGGGTGTCTACCTGACGACATGGTTAGACGTGTACCGTATGCCTCCATCAGCTTTTGCCATGGCATACTTGTGAACCTRGTAKCTCGATCAGATACAATGGATAAAGGGAAACCATACTCAGTCACCCATCGCATCTGAAACTTTTGGATCACAAGTTCCGTTCTCGCTTCTGCGGGTAAGGGAATGAACATAGCATACTTAGAGAAACGATCCACGATCACCATCACTTGACTATTGCCATTCTGACTTTTGGTGAGACTCATGAAATCCATGGAAATAGATTCACCTGGTTCGCTTGGAATTGGTAATGGTCTGAGAAGACCAAGTGGATTCTCATGTGAGGGTTTGTTTCTCTGACACACAAGACAAGTACAAACATAAGTTAGTACATCCTCTTTCAATGCCTTCCATTCAAAGCGTTCTCTAACCTCAGCGTAGGTTTTCTTGAAACCAAAATGACCTTCGGCGTCGTGACATTCCCCAATAAGCAGACTTTGATTTCTTTCTGGTGAGGAATACACAATCGTTGTTCAGTTTGGTCCAACAAGAAAAGCAAACCATCAGTTATCTTATAGTTGGGAAGTAGACTTTGGTCTTTCGCAAGGACATCCATGATAGGTTTCCATATAGGATCATTAACATAGCCTTGACGAATTTTATCTTTCAGATCATTCCCAACATCTAGGTAAGAGACAATGGCACCAAAGAAATCACATTTTCTAGACAATGCATCTGCAACCACGTCAGACTTACCTTTGATAATGTTCAACTCAAAATCAAAAGTATTAATGAATGCAGACCATCGTACTAGCTTATCAGAGAGCCTAGGCTGTGTCTTTATCCACTTCAGGGTAGAGTGGTCTGAATACACAGTGAAGTGTCTCCCTAATAGATAGTGTTTCCAGGTGTCTAAGGCACAGACTAACGCATACAATTCCCTTTCATAGGTAGAATTAGCAACCTTTTCAGATGGCAATCGTGCAGACATAAACTCAATCGGTCTGTAACCATTGTCGTCGTTCTGTTGAAGAACTGCGYCAATCCCATACTGACTTGCATCARTTGTGACAATAAAGGGAAGAGATGGATCAGCAATTTTCAGAACAGGGTAATGAGTCAGAGCGTACTTTACCTTTTTGAACGAGGACTCACAATCCTTGCCCCACAACCAGATCGTTCCTTTCTTTAACAATCTTTTCATTAGTGCAGCGATCAATGAGAAGTTCCTGACAAACTTCCTATAGTAGCTTGCCAAGCCAAAAAAAGATCGTAACTCAGTTACAGACTTTGGTTGTGGCCAGTTTCTAATTGCTGATATTTTCTTTTCTTTAGGTCTGAGGCCATCTTGGTTCACTATATGTCCTAAGTATAAAACTTCAGACTTAGCGAACTCAAACTTCTTCGGGTTGATTTTGAAGTTGCCTTCTCGCAACTTACTCAAAACCAGACGAAGATGCTTCTCGTGTTCTTCTAGTGTTTTACTATATACGAGAATGTCATCCAGATAGACGATGACGAACTGATCCAACCATTGACGAAATAACTCGTTCACTGACCGTTGAAATGTAGCAGGAGCAGTAGTCAATCCGAAGGGCATTACCATAAACTCGTAATGGCCATACCTAGTCCGGAAAGCAGTCTTGTGTTGATCTGCTGCCTTCACCTCAATCTGATTGTACCCAGACTTTAGATCAATTTTACTGAAGTACTTGCATCCCTGTAGTTGATCAAGTAAATCGTCGATGCGAGGGAGTGGTTCGGCATTCTTGATAGTGACGGCATTCAACCCTCGGTAGTCAATACATAGACGTAATTCACCTTCCTTTTTGGGCACAAACAAGACAGGTGCTCCATAAGGAGATGAACTAGGGAGAATCCATCCCTTGTCAGTAAGGTCCTGCAGTTGTTTCTTTAACTCCTCAAGTTCCCTGGAAGACATTCGATAGATAGGGCCCTTAGGGATTTTACTACTCGGAATAATCTCAATAGTGTGCTTTATAGTACGTTCAGTAATTCCGGTGGGTTCTTTCTGCAGATCCTTATATTCAGAGAGAAGACTTTCAATCTTCGGAGGACAGGAAGAAGAAGATTCACCGGCTCTCTTTACCAGCACCATCACAACTTCCTGTTCCAACTTTTTCTTAGAAACCATTGAACGAAAAACTGGATAACTCATACAGCAAAAGGATAGACTTGAGTCAGAGCCAGACTTATGATATAATTTAATTGGTTTCATTTCTGATTGCGCATCTTTGAGTTGCACAATCTTGTTTTTGAAATCAATGTCCGGGTTGGCTTCTTCGTGCCAGTCCATACCCAGAATGATATCAAAAGGTAAATTATTTTCTATGAGGAAGGATAATTCATGCACAATCTTCTTTCCTTCCCTCGTTCGAAACTGACACTTAATACGATCAACACATTGAGAGACGGTGATCGTACTCTTGTCTGCTAACATAGACGTTATAGGTCGAGACAAGTCTTTTACCTTCATGCCGAGATGCAACTTACGGATTGCTTTCTCGGAGATGTAGGACCTCGTTGATCCTGGGTCCAACATCGCACCAACTCGTGTTCGTGCGATCTCAACATCTGCAAACAACAATTCGCCCTTAGTCTTCGCTTTTCGAGCCCATGAGCCGCGTAATGCTAGCAATTCGTTACCTAGCTCATCAAGGGAGTCATCCAGAGAGACAGAACACAAGACAATGTCAGGGCGATCTGGATGATGGGCTAAGGAAGAATCATCCTCTGCCATTTGAGAAGAAGGGAAGACGGGGTCGTAGGCACCTTACCCGTCTGTTCGTTCTTACCCTTAATCTCAGTAGGAGCAGATGCTACTCCTACTGGCTGTTCGCTTTGGGGTTCCGGATCATAGGGCAGTAGGCGATCATATGTCCCGGTGTGTCGCACTTGAGACATTGCGCATTGTCCATGCGCTCCTGCCAAGTCTTTCTGGTCATACCCATTTCCACCCATGGCTTCCCATCAACAATGCCAAGGTGCCATGGAAAAGCTCTTCGTTTCTTCCCTCCTGTCCTAAGTGGCCCTTCCTTATTGGCCACAACAGCAGTGACTTCCCCCTTCCCGGAGTCACTGTTGTTATCATTCTCTTCGTTCGGCCACTTTTCCACTGTGTCGTCGTCAAAGACGACTAGTGTGTGGTCTTGACGCTTCTGTCACCAGAGAACTCGTTTCCCCTTGTATTGTCTACCTCCTCCTCCTCCATATTTAACTACCGCTGCATAGGATTTCTTGACTTGAGAAGTCATTTGTTCCCTCTGCAGAGTAAGGTCACGAAATTGCCTGTAGTTGTACTTACCGGATTTTGCTTCGGTGACTAAGTGTCCACGGATGGGCTCAGGCAACGCTCGGGAATAAATGTACAGCACTAAGCTGTCCTGCAAGTTCAATACGGGAACCTGCAACAATCGGTCAACTTCACGGGACAAAGCCTCAACTGACGTCCAATGCTTTTCACCAATTGATGTCAACTGGTCAAAGGCCTTGTCGGTCGTCATCTTGTCGAGGAAACGGTCCCTGGTTTTCGCCAAGAACTGTTTCAGCGTCAGAGTCTTCGCCCACTCACCGATGTCTTCGAAACCCGCAGCATTGGCCTCGGCCAACACCCATTGCTTGGCCTCACCACCCATGCAACAAGTGGTGAACGCGACTTGGGACTCCGACTCGACCGGAGCGGTACTCACATACGTTTGGATTTCTGCAATTCACAGCAGCAGACTTTCTTCTTTCTTGTTGCAAAACGTAAACAACAACTTCATCTTCACTTTTTCTTTCTTCTTCGGTTTTTCTGGTTCACTTGTCTTTTATGGAGTTTCTTTGGAAGTAGACTTAGAAGAATGAGAAGAGTGAGGAGTAGATGGTTGACTTGATCTATTTCCATTGGATCCATTTCCATTTGTCTTTATCACGGGACCAGCAGACTTCATTGCGTCCCCCATCAACTTCTTTACTTCTTTCTTCTCCTTCTTCTCTTCTTGTTTTTCTCCTCCCTGAATCTGATTCTTACCTTTCACAATATTAGCAATCGTTCGTAATCCGACAGTAATTTCATCCAACTGATTTTGCTGTCGGTCGATTTTCTCCTCCAGAAAGGTAAGATATGTCATAATGTGAGCCAACGTTTGTGACATGTCAGTCTGTTCACCTACTTCTATTCCTATGACTAGCCTGATCTCTTTAACTCTTTGTCCTCTTCGCTGTTCTTGTTCTCTAATTCGGGATACTTCTTCTTTCTTTCTTTCTTCCGCAGCCAAAGCATTTCTTAGCTGCTGGATATTAGAATCAATCGATTCTTCACTTACTTCTGATTTTACTTCCCCCTTACGAGTAGCTTCCATGATCTCTTCCAGTTGCTTCAGAGCAAATTGGTCGAGAGCCTGTCGCCCTTGAGCAATCAGTTTGGAGGCGTCTGTACCGGCTGCCACAATCTCCACAACCGTGATAGACTTCTTCAGGCGGTCTTCAACCCACTGAAGATCGAAATTATCACGGATGTGTTGCTCAGCATCCGGTCCAGACAGCTGTACCTAAGTCAGAAACTGACTCCACAAAGCCAACAGTTCTTCTCTCTTCTTATCAGCCTGTCCCCTTGTCCTAAGTTCAGACGGTCCTTCCCCAACGGAAAGTGCAATTGGAATAGGGAACAAGAAAGTGGTCACAAATCTCGTCAAGATAGACTGTTGCAAAGATTTCCAAAAGTAAGACATTTCGGGAAAACAAAAACAGGAAAATTCGTTGGCCAGATTATCCTACCGCAAAATAAACTACTGCAAGAGACAATAATTTCACGGTCACCTGTCCCAACACTCTTTAGAATAATAATAATAAGGAACAAAAGTTTTCTAATTCTATTTGCTGTTCTGTTTTCAATGTGATGACATCCTACTCTATCTCAGGTACCGTGACTCCAGGCCAACATGATCATCAACATACACAAGTGAGTACACAGGCACACAACACAGCGAGACAACAGGGAAGTCCGCCAACAAAATCAATCAATAGTTAGTGTTTTCCCCCTCTTGCTGTTTCGTCCTCCTTTGTCCTGTGTAACCAGCACCCAATCTGACGTTCGGCACCACAGCCACGTCACTCTTCTTGCCATGCCGCTTCAGTCATCAGAATGTTGTCCTCACTTAGGCACGGTCGTGCCTGCCATGTGTCACCCCTGGCCTGCCAACTCAGCAAGTCGATGAGTATGCCAGGTCAGCAGGTCTAATCAATCTTGTCAATGGGGTGCACGTCAGCAATGTATGCTGAAGTCGAAGTACCAGCCTGCCACAAAGTCGAAGTTCCAACCTGCCACGTGTATCCCCTGGAGTGTCAACACAACAACACTTCTGTCTCCCATGTCAGCACCGTAATCCAGTCAGCATCATCGAGGGAGTACACGTCAGGAGCGGTACCAACGCGCCACGTAAGCCAGGTAATATGACACTGCCACGTCAGCCTCCTATCTCACCGAATAGTGAGTCAACAATGCCACATCATCCTATCATCCACCGGCCACGTCAGCGATACAATGCCACGTCAATGCCGCGTCAGAATCTGTCGTGCGCTGTCTTGTCAGCCTCTTCAATGTAGATGCCACCACTTGTCGTTGTCGTGTCTGTCACATTATCGGAAAATCTGCTCCGATACCAAATTGCAATGAGCCCAGACGTGATGATACTCATCAACATTACCAGCCCTTATGATTATCAACCTGCTGATGAATGACAAACAATCGCAAATGTGTGTAGAGAGAATGAGGTGGAAAACATACACAGACGAAGAGGAAAAGGGGAGAATAGACAAAGGAGAGAGAAGAAGACAACAGCCCACTTCTGCTTCGGGTTCCTCCTGCTCGCCACCTCATCAATCAATAGACTAAATACAATGTCTGAAGTTCTTTCTCAATGTGCCATGTGGCACGTCAATCTGTCTTCATCAGCGAACTGGAGAGTATCGTCATCAACCAGGTACGTATCCTCGTTAACCACAGTCTTGATCCCCTTTCGAAGTGACGAAGAATCAGAACAGCCTCATCAATCTCGCAGCCCGCCACGTCATCAATCATATACAGGTGGCAGCGGCCACGTCAGCAA